CACACACACACACACACACACACACACACACACACACACACACACACTTTTCCCCAACTTGCACTTAGCGTGTTGTGGCATTGAAGGCGGGCATGAATTATCCATCATACTTCACTATTCTAGTGCTGCTGCACTTACAAGCAGGAAACACACACCTTCTTCTTCTACACACGCGCACACCAACGAACAAGAACAAAGTCATACTCCCATCCCAGAAATAACCGTTCTGTCCAAGCTCCCCTCACCGCTCCACCCGATGTATAAAAACAACTAAAACACAAGAAGGCTGTTTAAAACAGGTCGAGCGCGTCTGCTCGCCTCACATTCAAGAGATGAACAGTCGTCGGACATTCGTTAACTGGATGTGTTTGAGGTGCTCGTGAGCTTAGCAGCAGAAGAAACTATAGAAATAAATGACAGCGGTCGTTAGAATAGTCTTCCTCCTCGTCTTCCTCAGCAGCGTCTGCACTTCTGTTTCTACACGGTTTTATAAACAGCAGCTTTTTTTGTTTTTTTTTGGCAGATCAGCCTATCGCCATGACAGCACAGCCAACATTCACGTCACTGAAAACTACATTTTTACTGGAGCTGAACTACACTCCCCACGTCCCCCCCGTCCCCCCCTCTACCAGCTCGCTCCTGTGTCTCTTCGTCTCTGCACTTTTAGCTAACCTCTGATAAATGCTTCAATACATGGAGAAAGTAAACTCCTACACACCAAGAGAGTACACACCAACCTGACAACACGTAGATTATCATATCATAGGTCATGTCCTATATTATCGTGTATTACTACATTAAACCCTTTGTCCTCTGTCCTACTCTTCTACCCTCATGTTGATTAGAAACCCTGATCTCCTCTTCTGGCCCGGTTTGGGCCCGGGTAGGCCTGAATTTTGGCTCACATGGTGCAGGATTTGTCCAGCGGCGGGGGCAGCGGCGGGGTGCTGCTCTTGGGCGGGACCGTGGGTTTGGGCTTAAGGGCGGGGGGCCGCAGCGGAGCCCCCATGCGGGCAGCCGCCACCGGTTTAAAGGAGCCCAGGGTGTCGGGGGAAGGGTTTGCCGGTCTGGGAGGTCCCGGCGGAGGTCCGGGGAGCGGGCTCATGGGGCTCAGAGGACTCAGGGGGCTCGGGGTCCCGGGGGTGCTGGGGGTGCTGTGGGGGCTGGGGGACTCGGAGGAGCAGCTGGTGGCGGGGCCGTTCTTCACCTGCTCCAGAGTGTCCAGCACCACGTCGGGGGCCGGCCGGCAGCCATGCCTCAACTCCCCCAGAGCCACCGTCACCGTCTCCTCGATGTCCTGCAGGACGAGAGAAAAGCAGTCGAGTACAGAGTACCTGAGCAGGTAGTATACAGAGTACCTGAGCAGAGTACCTGAACAGGTAGTAT